TTAGAGCCATGAAAATAGGGATTGGGGGGAAGGAATATTCCTGGGTGAGGGGTGTGTCCCTTGCCTTTCTTGGCAGAAGGTCCTCATTGGTGATCAGGAGGGTTTGCGTTCTTTCGCGGCAGTTCTGGAATGGGGGAGCCGCGGGACGGCGTCCGCACCCGGGAGACGGACCGCGCGGCCACCAAACTGTTGCTCTCGCTGTTCTCCTGGGAGTGGAGCAAACTTGGGGAGGACAGCGTAAGGGTCAGGTTGGCACGCGTGTGCCGTGGGTCGTGGTGGTCCCCAGGGGGGGAAACTATGAAGGAGGCTGCCAGTGCATCTGGCAAGGGCAGAAGTCGAACTTTTTTTTTCCAGCCAGCAATTTTCGAGGTGCGCCTCCTGGAATCGGGCGTCTTGATCAGGCCTCGCGAGGGGACAATCTATTGGAAGCAGGCAGACGTTCAGCTGCGCTCAGCTTCGGAAACCTGAAAGTGGAGCGGGTCACGTGGGCGGCACGCACTCTCCCTCCTGCTCGGAAAATCCCCGAAGATCGCAGGCGTCTGTCAAATTCTGCACACCCGGGGCCGCTTTTGGGATGGGGGAGCCGCCTTCCTCCCGGCCTCTTCCCGACTTCTGGAATGGAATTCTTGCTCTTGGTAATTTGAAGCAAATAGGTGTCCACTGTCGGTCGGGAAATGTCAAGAGATCTCCTTCCCCTGAAAACTTTCGCCGTGGGCCAACCAAAGCTGCTAGTTTGCGGAGTCTCAGAAAGAATGACTTCTAATCCATTTTCGAAATCCGAAGGAAAGTTTGCAGATGGATACGTGTATCACTATAAAAATGTTGACTGGAGCATCTGCACAGGTTTGGGGGGACTGTAGCAGGTTGAATATGGGGAAATGACAGGAAAGGGATGGAAAAATGATCACACACTAACCAGTCCCATGAGTATGATCGTATTTATCTCTTCCTTTGTTAAGCATCACCCAGCATCAAACTAAAATATAATGAAATGCCACCCTTTATAAATCAATGTAAAATAAATTATGATACTTCTATATGATGGTGTTTGTTATGTAGCCAATAAAAACCACATTTTGTATACTATTTGTATAGAATTTACTTAAGCAACAAAATGAAGTCTTTTTTTGAAATGTGACATTTTAACAGTGGGCTGTAAGTGGAATTACAAATGATTTTTATTTTCTTTACGCTTTTGTGTACTTTGTGAAATTTGTAAATGAAGCATACCAAACTTTTCATAAGCAGAAAAATTACTTTTAAAAGTCAATAAGAAGGCTGTAATCATGTGGCAATGGTATAGAATAATAAAGCACAAAAGTAAGAAGTTAAAATTAAATATACATTATGAATGTCAGTCAAAAATGCAGTTAAACTGAAAGGAAACATGAAGATATTAACATTGGCGATCTTAGAGAAGTAAACTTTGAGGTGAAAATTTTTTTTCACTTTCAGAGTCTCTTTTTCTGTGTATACAATAAGCATATTTATCACAGGTTAAAAATTTATATACTAAATTTCCATAATTTGGATATGTGAGAGTTGTTTGCTGACCAGCTGTGAGTGTGGGGGAAAAAAGTGAGTAAATGCAGTGTTTTTTATACTCTAGTTCAAAGTGGTCAGATTAGAGGGTCTTCAGAATTGCTTGCTAACAAAATACGTTTTAGACAGTCTTCGTAAGGTAGAGACAAGATTAAACTGTGCATATGGGTAAAACACAGGGTTCTAAAGTACAAGGATTTTAGATATCATTTAGAATTATTGCCCTACGTCTAAAAACAATGCACACAAACCATTCCAGAAAAGTGATCTGTCTTCCCTTTCATTGTTCACTGCAGCAACCTAGGTGACACATTACAGCATTACTTCCTTAAAAGTCTGGATATACATCCTAATGGTTAACCTAAGTCCATTTTATAGTTTAAAATTCTGTTTTAGCCTCAAAGTAAGAGAATACTATCACATACACATACATATATCTGTAAGTACACATATACAGTATATTATTGCCGCATAACAAACCCACAGAATTAATGGTTCAAAGCCATTTTATGTGCCCTCGATTCTGTAAATCAGTCATTTGGGCTAGCTCTGCCTGGGGTAATTCATGCAGCTGCTGCAGTCACCTCACAACTTGACTGGGTGCACTCACGCTGGCGGTCGACGTTGACTGTTGACCTCTCTCTTTGCAGCCTTTCATCCTTGAGGAGACTAGCCTGGGTTTCCTCCTGTGGTGCGGCACGCTAAGGCAGTAGAGCGTGGGAGCTGTAAGACCTTGAGGCTGTAAGCTAAGGAGTTATACCACATCACTTCCACCACACTTTATCAGTCAAGTCAAAAGGCCAGCACAGATTCAGGAAGCAGGGAAATGGACTTCCCTCTTGATGGGAGGAGTAGCAAGATCACATTCCAAGGGATGTGCGTGCAGGAACAAGAGGAATTACCGTGATGATCTTCACATACGATCTATCACCACATATAATTATTTCAAGAATGATACCAGCTTATTAAAGCTGCTGGTTTTTTTAATGCTTGGTGGTGCCTTTAAGAACAACAAAACAAGGAAACATTAGTTAAGTCTATTCTTTAAACTGACTAATTGGGTCAATTTGGTGACCTTCTACAAATAAATGTTGATGATTCCTTAACTTTTCTCACCGGACTTTTTTTCTCATGATTGTGTAGCTTTTCTTAAGATACATTCTTAGTACTCTACCTTGTCTAAAACACTGCATAAGAACTTAACATCCAGCAAAAGCAATCATAATTCCTGTAGGACCTATCTATATGTTCTGATCCCAATCTTGCTGGCTTTGATTATGACGTGGCATTTTACAACCCATAATTAAATCCAACACTACGGAGAAATCGAATTATGAACCCAAATAGGGACTGAGAGTTTAGGAAGGTTCATAGGCAAATTGATTTAGAAGGATAAATAAACTTTTGATCTTTTATCAATTACAGTGTATAGAACTTAACACAAGTATTTTGCAAACAGCATAACATGAAAAAAAAAGATAATGTTTTTCCTAAAATGCTTGTTTTAAGGAGGGTAGGGAGTAGGATGTAACTGTATTGCTGTCTGGTAGATAAGTTGCCTACTGGGAAACTGATCCATGGCCTTGCATCTTCCATGCCAGGTGCTAAAGACATACTTAGGTCTTGCTGGCCAATAGACACAATGGTGCATGCAACCATGCTGCTTTGTGGGCACCAAATCATACCTTACAGGTCTTTCATTCAAATGCATCTCATATTGCATTTAAGTAAATTCCATGGAAAAATGCTTTTTGTTATAGCAGAGTTTTTTCACAAGTCTGTATTTCAAACTAGTAATAATAGCTAATGATGATCTTGTCAACTACTAAACTCAGACAAGCTAAGTGCTTTATATTTTTTCACTGAATCTTTACAAAGATCCTAGGTTAGGTATCATCCCCTTTTACAATAAGAAAACCGTGTCTGAGCTAGAATTTAACCTAGATTTGTCTGAGTCCAGAGCCTGTACTTCAAGTTATGTATCTGAGGTCTGACAATTAAGTTTGCAAACTTGTCAATGTGCACTTACTCTGGCAACATAGTACAAACTCTCAGTAAGGTTTCATAACCTTGGTATAGCAGTGTCTCATAACTGTATTTGTGTCGATGTGTGGCGGTGTCTTGCTAAGTGGCGTTAATTATTGTTGTTGCATGTTTTTGTGTGCCGTCATGAGAATGTCAGAGCTTGAATTAAAGCAACAAACAAACATTACATTTCTTGTGAAACCTGGCAAGAGTGAGTTAAATCAGAGACCTGTTCGTCCAAGTTTATCGAGATAATGCCATGAAGAAAATGACAATATACGGACGTTTTTCTGTGGGGAAAGAGTGAGTCACTAATGAAGAGAGGTCAGGACAACCAGTAACAAGCAGAACTGACAAAAACGTTGTAAAAATTCATTGAATTGTGTGTTAAAATCATCAGCTGACTATGAGAAGCATAGCAGACCAAATAAACATTGATAGAGAAACAGGAAAATCTTAACTGAAAATCTTGGCAAGAGAAAGATGTGTGTACACAGCACTGTTTGTGAGAAAGTTTTTAGCCAGTAAACAAATCACTGTATTGGAACACCCTCCCTACTCACCTGATCTGGTCCCCAATGACTTTTTTCTTTATCCAAAGATAAAGGAAATATTGAAAGGAAGACATTTTGATGACATTCAGGACACAGTGTAATACAATGATGGCTTTAATGGTCATTCCAGAAAAAGAGTTCCAAAATTGCTTTGATGGGTGGACTAGGTGCTGGCGTCAGTGCATAGCTTCCCAAGGGGAGTGAGTACCTTGAAGGTGACCATAGTGATATTCAGCAATGAGGAATGCAGCACTTTTTCTAGGGTGAGTTCATTAACTAATTGCCAGACCTCATGCTCTGATGAGTCCTAAAATGTTACCTTCAGGTCAACCTGTCTCTGGAGCCTCCAAATTATATTTCTAACTACCCATAAGACAGATAATCTGAGTTTCCCCAGGTATCTCAAAATTAACAGGAGCAAAACTGAATTTGTCTTCTTACCAACCTGTTCTCCCTCTTCCAAATTGTAATAACTGCATTTCTATATTCATTCAGGCACCCAAGGTAAAAGCCCTGGAGTAATATGAGCACGTGCAAAAATTCAAAGTAATGAAAATTGCCAAAGTACAAGGTTTCTCTTCTCACTTATCCCTAACATCTAACCTATAGCCATAGGCTATTGGTGATTCATCAGAAAGGTCTTGGTAATAGTTTCCTCTCTCCATATAT